GCTTAATTTTAATCGAACAAAAATATGTCGACAGCGAAATTGCATAATTTGTATTAAAGTTGAGTTACTAAACATTGGTTTGAATGAAAAACAAAAATCCAATTTTCTTGAAGGCTTCGTGTCTCTCATTATTTTAAATTCTACGACAATTTAGCCAGTATTGCATTACGTAATTCAAATAGCAATCTGAAATTGATATGCAAGCGCATATTACATGTGTTAATGCACTGCACAAATGAAGTTGAAGTGGTTTTCTTTATTCATAATGAAGGTGTTACGAAATTTACTTTAAATTTAATTTTTTTATGTAGACGATTTGAAATAAAATCCTGTCACTGGTATTAACGTGGCAGGATCCAAATGAAATAATTTTCGTAATTTATTTTTAATATTTGTAATAGATTACAGAGTAACCTCTGTGATCTGTGTCTATGATCTTATTTCCTTTAATCTTCAATCTGTCACTATGATCTGTCACCCATCATGGTTGTCTTCATCTATGTTCATAACCCATTAACTCATTAAATGCAATATCCACTGTTGCATGTGATTTAATAGAAAAATAATATTTGATTCCTTGACGTTTACAGAAAAGGTGCAATTTTACACGCTTGAAAATTCCAGTCGGAAAGGAAATGTCTAAAATATCCACAGGAGCCCCACAATACAAGGTAAGACATCAGCAATTTAAACAAATATTGAAGAAAAAAAAGTCCAAGAAACTTGTCTTATTTGTAGGGCATAGGCGATCATCAAAAATACCTATTCAGGATTACCAAGACTTTGTACTATGGAAAATTGCCAAAGACTGATAGGTTAAGCCTGCCTTTAACAGGTGAGCACCCGCTCCTATTTTTCAGGCTTACCGCATCAGTTTACATGCCTCAGAATGTCCACTAGGCAGTTTGAGAGTTTATAGAAGGATAAAGTCTATTCATATTGCGGCCCATTGCATCGCCCCTTAAGGGTCGTGAGCAGTAAATGTACTGTTGTTAGTCACTATTTTTTACAAACGCGAAAGTGCATTAGCGGACGTAGCTATTTTGTTATGATAGAGCCCATTCTTCATCGCATGTGTATGAAACATTGAGCTTCAAAGGGCACAATTTAATAAAAAAGCGATTTGAAATGTAAAAATCTTAAGTTTTTTTACGTTATCAAGACTTCGTTTTTGCATTAGTTTACAATTGTTTTAGAATTGGCTGCCGAACTCTTCTCCAGTGTGCAAAAAGGTAAAACCATTGACCGGCTGCACCTCGATACAGCAACGCAAATATCCAGAAATGCGTGTGTCTCGCCCTGTTCCTTAGTTCTGGCCATGCTGTACTTTGAACGATTGAAACGCTGCAATGTTGATTATTTAGAGCGAACTTCACCCTCCGATCTGTTTCTGGTGTCTTTAGTGAGTCTATTTGGTGACACCGTTAATGTATTTCAGGTGCTCATTGAATGGTTTCAGATGGTGTCTTCAAAGTATCTTTTCGACGATGGGGAATCTGATGAGGTGTTTATGGACGAATGGGCTGCGTCTTCTGAAATGACCTATAAGGAGTTGGGGAAACTGGAACGGGATTTTCTGGCTGCAATAGTAAGATTTAGTTTTTTGTGTCTACGATGGGGATTTTTACATACCTTTCTTTTGCATGGTTGGTTCAGAATTGGGAGTTATTTGCTAGTTCACCGGCTTTTTGGAAAAAACTGAATGACATAGAAGCGCAACTGGCTCTCAAACAAGGAACTTCCAGAGGGTGCTTCACGTACACTGAACTAGAAACATTAGGAAATATATTGTCTAAAGGTAATAGTTTTAGCCTATGCAGTCAACGTCTAGAAGTTTTGCACTCCGTTTATTAATGTGTTCCCCCATTCGTCTTTTCCTTTTTTCCCTGCATTTTTGGTCTAATTGTTGCTTGATGATCAGGACTTTGTCTCTGTTTGAGTGTGTTTACCCATATTGAGTTATTTGTGGGCTTCTCTTGTTAAAACTAACACCGTATTTGCTAGCGTTGGAATAAAACGTAAATTTTCAGATTTCCACGACGTAGTTCAAACCTTTGTGATAGTGACGGTCGTTTTAGCAGCAACCTACACTGCCGCCTTACTCATGATGTTTGGATCAGTAGTTCTGGCAGGTTCAATTCGAGTTACCAATTTATATCCCGAAACAAATGTTCTTCCAATTGCCAACCACTCGGTTATTGAAGGTATTAATATCCCTTCAAGGCAACTTGAATACTCACTTATTTGGTTTTTAGATATTCATCTTTCATCATCAGTGGTTAATGATTCGAAAAAGTCCTTTAACTATGATATAGTCAAGGTGTTTAAAGCGAGCATTCTATTGGCTTCTATTAAAACTGAACCTACGCGAAATTATTCAAAAGGATTGACTGCTGCAGGAATGGAAAATTGTCAAAATGTTGGGTGGGACTGGTGGAATACTCCTGTAATGAACTGGTTGGCTCAGACGTCTCAGTTGGTTAAAACCCTGGAAATTCCTGTAATCAGCAGCGGCATGTTTTACTTTGAAAGCACATGGACTAATGAGAAGTTTGCCTATTTAGAGGACCATATTAGGAGAGCCACGAAAACCCGACTGCAAGATCAGCTGGAACGGTCTTGGCATGTGGAGTGGATTGACACTATACAACAGCGTCTAGCTTACAACTATTTCACCTGCATCCATATGTATTGAGCGCTTATTTTTTGAGGCCACTAACAGTGTCTTTGCTTTACTTATTCACACACATTTATTTCCGAATGACTATAAAAATGTTTTCTTAAGTAAAGCATATTTTGTTTTTATACGAATTAAACGTTTGTAAGCTTGATGCTGCCCAAAAAATCGGAAAAATTGCGGCTGTGTTTTCAGTTTTATGATGAAGTGCATTGATCTATTGAACAATGTAAGGCGCACTTATTTAGGTTGCTTGAGGCTGGAGATATTTTAAAGACCGAGTGTCTTCAGCGGTTTTGCTTAAATGAAAAACTATGAAAACTTTGAGGAGCACGCAAGTGAGAGATTTTTCTTCTAATGGAGCCTTAGCGCGTTTCTTTAACTTTCTGAGGTTGAACCATCAATTTTTTTAAAATTCCGTTGAACAATGTGATGTATTAGACTGTGCTAGAACAATATCCATTCATATACGAGCTTAATGACGCATTTCCAGATAAATATTCATTAAAACTGTATGGGCATCTGTCTAATTATTTATACGAAAGTGAAAGGTGATGGTGAAGTCTCCACTCTTCAGCAACGCCCAGATGTGTGATTAGTCATAGACTAATTGCGTTATTGTCATGTGTTCTAGATTTAGCGCGCTCAAAATAACTGGAATTTCAAATGGAAGCTTTATAATTGCAGATGTGCGGCTTTAATTCGGTTTAATTGCGTTATTTCAGGCCTAGTTTCCGCTGATTTGTTCATTTACCTGAAATATTGCATGTCTTCTAGCTAATATTAGGGCAGCTAAAATGGTTTTTCGAGATTAGTGTTTATTGATGGCCAGCAAAAATAATTCTTCAAGCCCCCAATGGGGGCAAACTGATAAAGAACTGAAAAAATGTGAATCTAAATAATTCCAGCCACATGCGACAACGCCGGTGGCCAATGACTGACATAATCGTCCGTCTCGCTCGCACTCGGTGGTGCAAAAGTCCACTTTGTACTGCCTGTCAACGGCCTTCCTTAAAAACAACTTTCGATCTTTTATCAATACCCAGACTATGGCAAATAATAATAATAAGTTGAGGTGCAGAACGGTGTACGCTTTCGCTAGGGAAATGTATCCAAAAACGGTCAAGTGTGATATCTCATATGGAACTGCTGGATTCCGGACAAGGTAAGCTTTGAGGTTAAATCAAGGGGGTGCAGGGCCCCTAGTGGCACCAACCAAAATTTTTTGACTCAGAGACTCTCACTGCATCAGGCCCAACCCAACAGTTTCATCCCCTTGTGTTCACCTTTGCCTTTCACTTCCAGGGAATTTAACCCCACTGGGGTTGACCTGCAGCCCCTTTTTCATTTACCATATTGCTAGACTTCACGTTATGTAAATTGCCAAGCCAGCTGTTTATTTGGGTTAAATATCTCGAAAGCCTTTGTTTCACTGACGCTTATCATTATAGCACCTAACTGGGATTATAAAGCTTTTTGTTGGCTACACTAGAATCATCTTGCCTGGAGGTGCACCCTACATAACAAATATTATTCCCGTACTATCAAAGGGCATTTTACCGCAATGCAGTTGGGCCCTTCTTACATCACCAAACAACAAATCCATTAGCAACCCGTGCTTTTTATTTATTAACTGTTTGCAATGATTGTTTCGCTGCCTTATGTTCGTCATGTGCGTTGTTTAAATAGGCCTCAATTGGCCGAAAGGAAGGCAAATCGCGAGCAAAATGGGGACAACTTGATAGTATTGTTTATGTAGAGTTTAGTGCAAGATTTAAGGCATTGAGCTGGAAATTGGAGCAGCTCTCGAGTTTGGCCCCCAAGAGAATTAATTTGACGGGCGTTTGAATCATTTAAAAAATGGCAAATAATGTTTCAAATAGGAACCACTGGAAATATCCACATCCTAAGCACTGTTTTAGAAGACCATTTTATAAACTAGATGATGCTATAAAAAAAGTAAAGATCTCAGTAAGACTTCGCCCTTTTTCTGACCCGGTGGGGAAAATGTTATAAGATCTAGTGACCACTTCGATAGCTGATCTCAAAGACTGGCTTCATCAAAAATTTCAAACCTTAAGAACGAGAGAAGGAAAAATGTCAAAATTTTAGCGGCGCTCCAAGCTTAAGACTTCATATCTCGGAAATGGTTTAATTTATCGCAACAGTCATGCATACCTTTTCGATAGCCGATAGTTTTCGTTTCGTTAAGGCTCTTTTGATGGAGCGCCCTAAGAACTGGCGAAATTATTAACCTGTGAAAAGGTCGAAGAAAAAACATTAAAATTTAAGAAGTTTAAGAACGTATATCGCAAAAACGCTGAAAAAGTCGGAATGGCAACTTGGACTTTTTGATAGAGCGTCTCGGTTGTCCCTAGCTTATTAGGCCTCATCCGAAGTTATTAATATTTGAAAAGAAAAAGTCAAGATTTAACGGGCCATTGAAGTTTAAGAGCTTATTTCTCGGAGTAGGTTTTGAGCTATAAGTTCCGTAGTTAAACTTTATCAACCTAGAAAAGTGTCAAATTTTGAGTAGAGGTCGAAGTTCAAGATCTTATATCTTGAAAACGATTGAAAATATGTAAATTCTCATTAAGATCTTTTCGATAGAGCCTTTCAAGTACTGACTATCTCTAGCTATTTATCAGATATCAGCTATAGACTTTATCAGATTCTCCGAATTTTTGACAAAGCTGCAAGCTTCTCAAAAACGACTGAAAATTTATAAATGGTTATTAGAACCTCTTCGATCGGGAGCCGTATTTATTTCTTGAGTTTTCAGATATGTTCAACATCGAAAATGATAGAAAACGGAATCATTAAAACCTTTTCTATAAATTGAATGAATTGAATCTATGCGGAAATGTCTTCAATATTTCCAAAAATAAATAAAATTATTCCAATAAATAAAATTTAATATTTAATTTCTATTTCTCTAAAACCTCTCGGGTATATCAAATTAATATCATGAACGAAACCACATAGGGGGAACAATTGGAGCAGTTTAATCGCATTACGAGAAGGTCAATAGTTTTCTTCAATATCGGCCCCTATAGGTGTGCCTGATTATAAATAAGTGTGCCATAGCAAGCTAAATAAACTGACTAACCCATATTGAGCTTGGGGGCAAGATGGGATTTTAATTGCCTAACTTTGAAGCGCTTTTAATGAACTGGATTGATTTTGAATGTGTTTTCAGGGCAACTGATTTGGAATATGTTATGTACCGAATGGGACTGTTGGCCGTCTTGCGAGCCCGATTTAAGAAAGGTATTTAAACTTTCCTTAGCTAATTGCGATCAAAACGAATTGTAAATAGTCTATTATACAATATTTCTTTAATTAGTTATCGAAAGTAGCCTTGTATTTATATAAGGCCAGATAACACGTAATCTTTGTGGTTTATTTTGGATCTTCAACGAGTTTATCACAAGGCCACAATACTTTCTTTGGGCATAAACATGCGGTTTGAAATAAGGAGGAATGCGTTTGTTTTTGTTTTTCAGAAGGCTTTTATCAAATGTTTATCAATTTTTTATTTTCCAAGCTGTTATAGGTGTAATGATTACGGCCTCGCATAACCCCGAGCCGGATAATGGGGTGAAATTGGTGGATCCTATGGGCGAAATGTTGGAACAAAGTTGGGAAAAGTGGGCCACTAAAATTGCCAATGTTACGTAAGTTTCCTCACTGCGCATTTTCGAGTATTAATAAATAGCGAGGGTAACTAATACTTTCCTGCAACTTATTCTAGGCCATGAGTTTTGCTATTTTACGATCTGCTTGCATAAAATTTGTATTTCGAGTATGTAGTTTAGCGAAAGAAATATTAAAAAATACCTATTATCATTCAATTTTCAATTCGAAATATCTTATAAGATTTGCGACAATCACGTCCATTATCTGGAAGATTGATTGTTTTTTCCAATAAAGCTCATATCTGAGCTTATCTAGATGAGCTCCCAAGCCCCATTTTATGCGATTTGAAATTATCATTGATTTAGTGAGCTCATTCACCATAAAAGCCGTTCATTTTCTAGCGATGATAAATTAGAAAACGTCATACACGACATCATTAAAGAGTGCGATATTCAAAACATGAACGATCGTCCGGAAATTGTTGTTGGCAAGGACACGAGGCCTAGCAGCCCTAGCTTAGCAAAGGCTGTATTTGACGGTTTGTATTTAAATCTGTAAAGTAACCATTTAAAGTCCCACTTGGGCTTAAATTCAGGCGTATGTTAACGGCGAAATAATCCACTTTTTTAGGTGTATTGGCCATGGGGGGTAAACCGATTGATTACGGAATAGTTACCACTCCACAGCTCCATTATTTTGTCGTTTGCAAAAACACAAACAGGGCATATGGGCAACCCACTGAAGAAGGATACTACAGAAAGTTGACTAATGCCTTTAATAAAGTCAGGGGCGAGAAGTTGAATAACGGAAATTACACTAATAGGTATGTGAATGGTCACTTTGCCGATTTGGCCTAAACACTCGATTTTCGGAATTTAGTCCGGACGTTGCGCTGGCACGCATGGCTAAAATCTCCAGAATGCTTCTGATTCTCATCAAAGACTGCCTATAAACCCGAAAATCACCATTAGGTGCTTATGATCACGCCGATTAAATCGCCAATTTTACTTTACCTAAAACTATTGGTTCTATTTTAGCATTCTGTATGATGGAGCGAATGGTGTAGGTGCGAAAAAGGTCAAGTATCTTAAGGAAGGTCTGGCAGGCAGTTTGCTCATCGACATGTACAATGACGAAATTATTGGCTCGGGGAAACTTAACTATCTGGTAGGAGCCTTTTGGCAATTGTCCAATCCACACCCTTGTTCTAATGCCATCTCCTTAGTGTGGAGCTGATTTTGTCAAAACCCAACAAGCCTTTCCGACTGGCCTACCTCGAACTCCAAACGCTCGATGTTGTTCAGTGGATGGAGACGCCGATAGGCTGGTTTATTACTATCTGGATGAAAGTGGGAAGTTTCATCTGATGGACGGCGACAGAATAGCCACCCTCATAGCCGGATATTTAAAGGAGGTATTCCCGAGACAATCGATCATTCAGGTCCCCTTGAACACTCACTAACTAATTTCAATGTATTCAAAGATTCTAGAAAAGACTGGGATGGCACAGAAATTGAAGTTGGGGCTGGTTCAGACTGCCTATGCCAATGGCGCTTCAACCGATTATATCACCAACAAACTGGTAAGCGATTCGCTCTGCAGTTGCGTGTAAGACTTGCCAATGCCTTTCAGCAAGTTCCTGTAGCTTGTGTTCCCACTGGTGTTAAATGGCTGCATCACAAAGCCCTCGAATACGATATTGGAGTGTATTTTGAGGCGAACGGCCACGGCACGGTAGTCTTCAACGCTGAAGCCAAAGAAAAGCTCAGAAACGCTTTCCAACTGAACAAGTAAGCGACTGCGGGAAATGGGGATAGTTTTTTAATTCAGCTGGTGTTGTTTCAGCCTGACCCGGGAACAAAAAGACGCAACTTCAAGACTAATTAATATAATCGATATTATTAATGAGACGGTGGGAGACGCAATTTCGGACATGTTGCTGGTCGAGACCATCTTGCACGCCAAGGGCTGGGATATTACTCAGTGGGAGGCGGCTTACGCCGACCTGCCGAATCGTCTATTGAAAGTTACTGTCCAGGTGATTAGCGGAGTAAAAGATTGAATTGGATTTAATTATCATTTCACTTTAGGATCGCACCGTAATCAGCACAACAGACGCGGAAAGGAAATGCTCTACTCCCGTTGGGCTGCAAGAGGAAATTGATAAAATAGTGGCGAAATATTCGAAAGGAAGATCGTTTGTACGACCGTCAGGTCAGTGTTTTTCAACTGTTTTTCTTTGTCTGCGTGAGCGGATGCTCTAACGGTCATTACAGCGATCCAAATGTTGCCTCCAGTTCTTTGGGTATTAAATTAACGTCCGCATTAACAATTAATACCGTAAATGCTGGTTTTGCTTAGGCAAAAACTTGTGTGTGTTTTTTGCAAATGCATTGAGAAATCGCGCAAATTATTGTGCTTCCGACGTCGATTTCTAAGACTTCAGATTAAGCATTGTAAATGATAAAACAAACCTCTATCTGATCCTCTTCTTTATCTTCAAATCTTTTGCTTCTTTCAGTAGTGCAGATTAACGATGGTTCGCGCTTTCTTCTCTATCCAATACCTCTACTGTACTGTACATTAATGAACACCTTTTTCCTTTCCAGGTACTGAAGATGTAGTTAGGATATATGCAGAAGCAGCCACAAGACAGGATTGTGATAAATTGGCCTCCGAAGTAGCCAAGATAGTGCATGAATTAGCTGGCGGAACTGGAAGTCCTCCGGAGATTTCGGAATAAGGATTCGAGTAACGAAATTACAATCATGCTAGCTCGTATGCCATTTTAGATAGAACTTCTGTTTTGATCAGCATGTGCAAAAGTTCGACGGTTTAAGGGCACTACTTCGAGCAGTCGCTCATTCATTGGGTTCTGAAATACGTTTCTCACCGCTCGCTCTTTAAAATGTGTTCCTTGACCCCGAAATGAATCAATAAATCAACGGGAAACAATAGGAACAAAAGAGCGTGTTGCATTTTGAATGGTTGCAAATCTATTCCACAACGCAATGAATATATTCGGTTTTTCTTTCATAACGCCTTGATAATATTAAGTTAGTTAATCCCATGTTTGAAATTCGTACATTTAATATTTTACAGTCGCAAAATGAACATGTTTTGGCCAAAGTAGAATGGGTGCTGTACACAATAATAATGCGATGCACTTTCAATTGAACTGAAGATAATTTGGTAAATGTTGTGATAAGAACATTGAAGACATCTCAGAAAATTGAGACTAAAGCCATAATATGCCGTGATGATTAAACTATATTCCAACGAAAGTCATCCACGCATTAAAGACTTCTTAATTGTAATTTTTCGCTTTTAAGTAGGACTTTAACTAGTACATTTTTTTTATCATCTTTACGAAATTTAGTTTAAGGATACACGCTTGGATTCTTAATCGATTAAATAATAAGTTTAAGTTAGTCAAGCTATGGAGCTAGAAGGTTTTAGGTTTTATTTTGAAATGTGCGGCCTCTGGCAGTTATATAGCCGGGATCTTTTTTATGTCTGAAAAGGCAATCCGTCTAAAAAGCAAAGGCTTTCGGCTTAAGCAAAACACATCAATTATCACTACTTAGTTAGGATCAACTTTATATAGCAAGGTTTCTTCTGAGTGTTATGTTTATAAACGAATAATTTATTTTTAGAGTGAAACCATACTCGGGTTGGTTTTGGAAGATTTTTATAGCGCCATCGGCTTTATTTATTTATGTTTAAGAGTTTACTTTGTTATGCAATTAATATATTAATCTATTTTGTATATTATTGTTTACGGTTGATATTTTACAATTTGTATATTTTTGTCTAATAATATCTAATATCAAATATAAAGTTTTATAAGATTTTGTGTACGGTTTTTTCACTAACTAAAACCAGCTGAAGTCGAAACTATTGATATTTAAATTTCCCGCTTTGCCTAACTAAAGGTTCCCACTGGTTTTTGTGATAGGTATCTGTTTTACCATACCAAATTTCCAATGATTCTACAACGGTTTACGGAGCTTAAAAGGCAACTGCTAGTTTTTCGTGCGTGCGTTTTTCAATTGGATTTTTTTAGTTGTGTTTGTTGAAAGTTTCAAGCGTTGATTTGCAGGTGATAAATTGATCATCATTATTTTTTAGGATTGCAGTAGTTGGACTGTGGCCCGTAAGATGGGCGGCGTGTCGCGTAATTTGATTGGACAGAGACAAGTCAGCGATCGGAAAGAAATATGTCGGCGTATTAGAGGAACGGAGCCCGTTATTGTGCAAGAAATTGGACTTCTCAACGATCTAAATTCAGCAAGATTCATTTTAGATTCGTCCACCATAATCGTGAAGTATGGCTTCGCATTTAGGTGGAAAACCGGAGTACATAGTTGGTGGCAAATATCGTTTAGTTCGTAAAATCGGTAGTGGCTCCTTTGGTGATATATACTTGGGTATTAACATTACAAATGGAGAGGTAAGGTTGTTATATTTATAGGCAAAGCGCTGTAGTTTAAGTTTGCAATTTTTCCGACTTCTCGGCCTCTTTTCATGGTTTTCACCATTGACAACATCAAATGGCAGCCATGTCCATCGTCCAGCAACAATTCCGTCTTGAAATTCCAGTATTTATGCTAAACCAGGCCTTTTTCGCTGAGGCCTGTTTCTTCATCACATTGCCTCGAATCGGGCCTTGATCGCTTGACCATTTCTAAACCCATGTCGATTTTGTCCCAAAAAATCCTCATTAATTGCCCATTTAGTTAACTAACTACGTACTGTTTACCAACATCTATACTTAATTTATTAACGTTTGGCTTGATCTACATTTAAAAGTTTAATAATCAGATAAACAACCAATAAAAATTTACATTTAGGTTCAAGGCTGCTTTTTGTGATCATTCAATATTCCATTAATCAGGTAATCAAGCTCAATAATGTATACTTTAACTGTGTTTAAATTGTACTTTATTCCGATTTACATATTGTGAAGTGATACAAAGTAGTTGAGGGACAGTCAGTATTTTTTCTCAGAATTTTTCAATATTGCACCACATTCAAGACCTAATTTGCTGGACTGTGGTTTGCGATTTTTCCAGTTAATTGCATTAATTTACTTACAACTTTAAGGACCTAATCTTGTAAAGCCTGGACCTTTAAGGAGTATAAAGGAACGGTTTCCATTATTTGCAGCTCGCAGCTGACTCAATTTAATGATAGATAGATTATTTCTACGAAAAAATCACTCACTCGCAAATCTTGCTGATATTTTAAAGTATATGAATACCTAACTCAATAGGTTGATAAAGACATCCATGTGAGATCAGGTCGGTTTGGTCAAAATAGTTCAATTTGCACGTAGATTTAAACACGGTTGTTTGGCAAAAATGCGATCTTTAGATATATATCGAACACGTTTGTAAAGGCGGAAGTTTGTAAAATTTGGAAAGTGTAGGTTTGCTATAAAGATAAAGGATACCAGCCCTAATCACCCCTTGTAAAATGAGGGAAAAACTTGCATTTTGGGTCCCAACACTCTAACTCTCGTAGATCATTTCAAGTTTTTTTTGTAATAAAATTAGAAGAATGAGAAGTGTGGGTTGAACCAACACAGAGGACGTTTAAAATACCAACGTCTTCATCATTCAACACCTTGTATGTTTCAAATTAACCGGTTTCGGAACTGTGAGCATTTAAAGTTTTCTCCCCAAACTGATATTGTGGGAATTAATCAGGTGGTTTCTCTCTGAGTATAAATTTCTATCAACTTGTAAAGTTTTTTTTATTGATTGCAACACCCTTTGCGCCGTGTATCATCATGTTTCTTCAAATCGGGGCTTGAACGGTTAAAAGTTTTGGGAAGTGGGTTGGTTTTCACCCACAAGTCCATAAATAACTGCAACTTCAGTTGATTTCTTGCTGAATATTATTTTCCAGCGTTTGAATGATGTTACTTAAGTTACATTTAAATGTTTTATATTGGGACAACAAAAGATGTCGATTAGGTTCAAAGGTAGATTGCGTTTTCGTAATCTTTAATTATTTCGTTAATCAGGTGCGTGTGCGTAATTTTAACTGCATTAAAATGATGCTTTGTTCTAGTCAGACAGTCAACGTCTAGACCCTTAACTGAGTATAAAGGAAGGGTCAACTTTCCATTTTGTTCAGGTCGCAGCTGACTCAATTCAAAGATAGGCAGTCTGCCTAAGAAACAATAAGTCACTAGCAGACAGATTTGCTAGATTTGTGCCTTACTATGAACTCCTTGCCGACTTAATACGGTCTTTTGAAAATAATGCAGGTCTCCAACATTCGAAAACGTCTGTTTGTCTTTGCCGATTTTTGCTAGTATCTTATGAAAATACTGGCATTTTTTACTAGTTTGAGGTGCGTATTGTATCGTGAAGAAAGCTCAAGGAAAATCCCTAATCATCTCTTGTGAAGCAAATGGAAAACTTGTGGTTTTAGACCCAACACTTGTAAAATCCCGTTAATTCACTTAAATCACCGAAAGTCTACCTATTTTAGGTAACGTGCTGGAGCCAAAGCCAGAACTATATTAAATAAAAAGCGTAATTTTTTCGCCATTGTGATCTACTAAAAAAGTTTAAATACCGGAGTATAGCACAGAAAGTCAATTTTGGATGCGTTTGATAGTGCAATGTCTATAAGCGGATAGTTTAAATTGGAAAAAAAAATTGGTTGTCTTTGTAGGTCGGGCTTTAGTATTTATTTATTTAGAAACCCCCAAAGCGCAAAAATCGCTTTTATATGTATTTTGAAGTGCAAAGTCTGTTTTATAAGTGACAAAAGTTTCTAATTTCAGTCATTATCAAGTGTTTAAAACCGCGTCTGGTTGTTGTGCTGTTTTTTTGCAGGCCACAGTTTATTATTTATTTACTCTGTAATTTGCGACGTGAGAAAATCAATTTTGGATGCGTTTTATAGCGCAAAGTCTCGTCTTTAAGTGGACAAAGTTTCGATTTTCAGCCACCATTAGGTAATTTTTGACGGCCGGGGTTTGTCATATGAGAATCGCCAAACTCGCTAATCGCTTTTGTATGTATTATGTAAGTGGAAAATGTTTAGATTATCAGTCATCATCAGGCGATTTTTAAGAATTTTTCAAAATTGCATGTAGTTTTTGCGGTTATTTAAGCAGATCGAAGTTTGGCATTTATTTGCCTGGGAACTTGCATAGTTAGAAAGTGACTTATTTGCTACATTTGTATGGCAAAACTGCTCCATAAATGGAAAGTTTCGATTTTGACGCATTCTTGCAACATTTATTTCTTCAGAAATCAATCCGGTGACTTGTATGAATTTTGGTAGCCATAGACTGTTTTGAGTCATTATCGGGCTATTTTCAATTCATCAGTTTTAGTATTACTTTGCGATATAATTTCGTGGTTGTTTGTGCACGCTTAAGTTTGACGTTTATTTTTTCAGAAAGCAGTGAAGTTTTAAATATAATTTCGAGTATATTTTGTGGGGCAAAGTGCGTTCTATAAGTGGAAAACGTTTCAGTGTCGATTCATTCTCAGCCAATTTATTGAGAAGCTTTTTAATGAGCTTTGGATTTTTGAAGTTGCTCTTTCAGGCGTAAGTTTTCTCTTAGGAAAAATTTATATAATTTATGCGATAAAACAAGCTCTACTGGCATCGCTGATTCCATGTTTCAAATTAACCGGTTTTAGATCTATGAGCATTTGAACTTTCCAACTTGATATTGTGGGAGCTTTTCGTCAACTCGGGGTTTGGACTGATAAATATCTTGAAAGGTGGGTAGATTTTCGCCCAAAAATTCATGAATCAAGTGACTCGCTTGACAACTTCTTGAGTATTGTTTCCAAATATTTGATCATTAAGGCGTGGACGTTAATATTGATTTAAATGCTTCATAGTCAGTTAAACGAAAACATTTTCAATTGCGTTTTTGTAATCATTAATTAGACACTGAATTTTTAGATTGTGTACGCAGTTTTAGCTGCGTTAAAATTGTGTTTTACCTATTTAAACGGTCAGAGTATTCACGTATAGAGAAATGATTCAAGCTATTGTGGGGTTGGCCAAAATTTTTCATTATTACACCATGGGTTAACTAATGTCTGAATTTGCAAGAAAAAGTTGAGAAGGTAATCTAAAAGCAGAAGATCCTATCCCATGAATTCCAAATAGTTTTTCCAAAAAAACAACCGTTCTTGTTCATGACGGTCTAGCTTCGGAAATAGTAGATTATTTGGTTCATGATTTTTTTCAGGAAGTAGCAGTTAAACTTGAAGCCATTAGGGCAAGACACCCTCAACTCCTATATGAGAGCAAACTCTACAGGATTCTTCATGGAGGCATAGGAATTCCACACATCAGGTATGCTGTGGCGAGAATCTAATGTATTTAATCATCATCTGAATCGAGAACATCGTCCTAATTCTTTTTTGCATCCGCAATAGAAAAAATCAATTTTTTGTTTAAAAATCCGCGAAATTTGCCTTCGGATGTGGCTTGGAAATAGAAGAATGGTGATTGTATTGAAGGTTACAGATGTTATACAATAGAACAACAGCCATGACAATAGCGAATTGAACACAGTGACTGTATTTAAGCTAAATGTGCTAAATGGGTTTCACTTCGTTAAGCCCCAATAACTCACTAATCGTTGTGGTTTATCACCTTTCTTCAACAACTGTGTCATATAATTAATTTTAAGGCCAAGCCCTAGACACTTTTCGTACTTGATTCTTCCCCAACCGGGTCCTTGCGGCATGAAGGTAATTTATTTGACTAGAAGTGATGATTAACTTAGATTGCTTCAAGTTACAACACAAATTGCCTGGTTATAACAAAGACTAGGAACAGTCGTTTCTTACTAGTGGGTTTTTGTATGACTCGCAATTTTTTTTATGATCAGGGTCGCGCTTTCAGTCCTTGGTTTATTTTTGGAAGCCAATCAGTGGGATCTATTACATGTTCTAGAACTGTATAACGATGTTGATGAAATTCGAGTAGATTGGCAAATGTTTTGTCAATCTACCTTTTCTCAACGTAATTAAAAGCGAAATTTAATGCCGAATTAAATCAACTAAGCCCTGAAGTTGTTGGGTTGATGATGGTGTTCAGAGTTTAGGCCCTGCTTGTTTTAGTGACTGGTAACTTGTAATGCAACTTTTTGTTGTCGCTTCCAGCCGCAACGGTAAAGTCGAGAGCGCTTAGCTCGACCGGTCTTAAAGTTCGATAGTGTTGATTTTCTTGCAGATTGTGCTGAGGGCTGAACCATTGTTGCATAAAGTTGTTTGCAATTAACATTTCTATTCTTAAAAATCGGTTTAGTTAAAGAATGACTTTGGTAATAAAAAGTGACGCAAGCAAAGCGTATCGCGTTTAATCTGGATGCATGCGCAACCTTCGAATCGATTATTGGCTACCTGATAACATATATTTTCTTCCAGTCATACACATCGTCCATTGTTCTACTAACTGTCGAGATTAGCTTTAGCTTCATTGGAAAACAGTTATTGGTATCAGTATGATAAAACTGGCTTGGCATTGATTAAACCTCAATAACTACTTGTTATGTCTTCTGAACAAATTTTCAGCCGTTTTCAATTCAAGCATTAACCAACACGAAAGTTCTTTTCCTGTACAAGCAGCGTATCTGTTTACAACCTGATTTCAATACGTAAATAACTCGACGTGCACGATGCCACGTGAAGGTATCCGCGTCACGTGCACACGTTGAGTTGATCGATAATTTGAATTGATTTTCCCCAATGGAATCCTGTTGCTTTTCTCCTAATTTTTGTTTTAGCATGGTGGACATGTTTTGATAATATTAAGCAACACCGTTGTTTGTGTCTCTCTTGCACTCGAGCCGAATGCTATGAGGAACAGTGGGCCTAAGTTTCAGTTAATTCCGTTTCTTTGTCCTCATTTCAACACCCGCACACCGTTGAAATGGAGGTCGTCGCATGCAACCAGTTTGTCGCTCTGAAACTATTCGTGAAAGCAATTTTACTCCTAAGGTCCACTTGGAATATGGGTCGGTTTCAGTTGCTGGTTATCGATAGAAATAAGTTTCCTCTTGTAACTGGAAACATGAACCGTTTCTGAAACATTTACGGTTATCTGGATCTTTTTGTCACATCTTTGTGCGGTCGATGAAATAATGGACTCTTTATTTGAGTCGAACGGGTCAAAAACACAAAAATACGTATGTTTTAATTGAATTTGGATCAATGTAAAACAAAGCCTGATTTTTTATGTTGCGGACGTTTTGCCTTTTATTTAGTCTGCCGCTGGCCTAAATAAATGTGGCAAAACGTTGGCAATTTGAAAAAAACAGGCTTTTGTTTTTCCATCGATCCAAATCCCGTTATAGAAACAACCGCAACCATTGAAAACGATCGTAAAGGCCGCATCGTTAATTTCAAATTACTATCAACGTTGTGCAGTGGTAGGTACTAAATAAATTCACTTCAGCAAATGTTTTCCAACACACGTTTTGCTAGATATTTATTTTCAAATCGACGACTATTTCAAACAGTTCGGTTCTAGTCTAATTAAAGTACCATAGCTGTTTCCATCAAGCTATTTTAAGGATTCCCTGAGTGCACTGCGCTACTTGCCTTAAAGATTTCATCGGAAATGCGTAAAAGTTGCCAAAAATGGCCACTTCCATATTTTAATCGTCTACAATGAACAAATGCGGCAACTTTGATTCATCGTAGAAAATTAACCCATTGAAGTAATATTATTTCATGCAATCTAAAAGCGACGGCATTACTTTTTACACAGAAGTAAATATCGGGGGTTTTTGCTTGGAAGTTTTGAACTTTTGCAATTCAACAAGAGATTCTTTTGTGAATTGTGAGCAATAGAATCTTTATATAAGCGGTTTTGCGGAAAAATTTACACCTTCGACTAAACCTCGAAACTGTATTAGAACTTTGGAAAGTGGAAATGATTGGATTAGGTCGGGCAGAAAAAATCTTTTGTGGGCCGTTACTGAAGCTCTCAGTTCATTCTCAAGTAAAATGAAAATATATCATGTTTCGCGTTCGACCTTTGGCAATCATCCTACACATTCATTTAGCATTCAACTTTGGACAAAACCTGCTAAGTTTATGGACGTATTCTCAACGTATAGAGGCGGTAACTTATCCTGCAATTAAACACGTGTTTCCCGTATCAATTCCAACTCCTTGTTGATTGCATCTGCTTTTGCAATAAATAAAATATTGATTGTTTCAGATACTATGGCCAGGAAAAAGACCACAACGTCCTCGTCATGGATCTGTTGGGACCATCTCTCGAAGATCTGTTCAATTTCTGCTCGCGCCGTTTTACCATCAAAACAGTCCTCATGCTCGCCGACCAGATGATAGGCCGTATAGAATATGTACATTGCAAGTCGTTTATCCATCGAGACATTAAGCCGGACAATTTTCTAATGGGCATCGGGCGTCATTGCAATAAACTATTTCTAATCGACTTTGGTCTGGCCAAGAAGTATCGAGATTCCCGCACGCGCCAGCACATTCTCTACAGGGAAGATAAAAACTTGACTGGAACTGCCAGGTAAGGACGATTTAAGCTCATCGATTTCCAGTCATTTACCTCGATTCCTTCAGGTACGCATCGATTAATGCTCATTTGGGTATCGAACAGTCAAGACGAGACGACATGGAATCATTGGGATATGTACTGATGTACTTCAATCGCGGTTGTTTGCCTTGGCAAGGTCTGAAAGCAGCTACAAAAAAACAAAAATACGAAAAGATTAGCGAGAAAAAGATGTCAACTCCAGTAGAAGTACTTTGCAAAGTAAGTATAATTTGTGTGGATGCGAAGAGCTAAACTCGAATGCCTCAGGTCTATTTTAAAACACGGAAAACATACGGAACGACGTTGTTAAATGGTATTCAGTAAGGATAATTTTAGCATTTGAAAACAATAAGCAATGTCGCATCTGTAAAAATTAAATTAACATTGAAAAGTGCTCGCAGAACGAAAAAGTCAACATGTTATTAGTTGAATGAGGAATCATAAAAAGTCCTAGAAAACCAGCTGAATTATATGCCCAGAAATACTGCGAAAGTGTTGTATATTTGCCAGACGATGCATTTCTGGTTGGAAGGGAAGACCCAATTCCCGCCGGTCGTGAGTTGATGAGTTATAAAAAATACGTTTTTTAATTCATATTTTTATTAAGCAATTTTAAAGTCAACGACATTTGCAATTTCCTCAAGAAAAATTTCGCTTTTTGAAAATGTGCCATTGTAATTACGAGCAAGCATGTGTTTGCAGCATGACGGAGCATAAACAACACATAAAGCGAGAATTGTGCAACGATTTTTAAATGAATCTGATGAAGAAATGGCATCGGTATAAATAAACGATAAAATGCGGTGGGCGTCAAAATCATCCCACTGGACTTGTTACTGTTCTAAACCATCCCAATTTATCAGTAAGGGAAATGCTCGCTTTCCATCATAGTACCACTACAATGGGAATACCCCAATTTTATTCCGCCACCACGCACTTGCTTTTTTCTCACTTTCTTATAAGTTTCTTAATTTCTGTTCGCACTCGAAGGGGTCTGTCATCCTTTTATTCAAAAAAAAAGATATATTTTAATTACAACAGCAATCGAGGCACACGCTCCAAGTCGCTAATCAATTCGCAGAGTTGATAAGTTCATAAGAACTAAGTCCTCGAACAAATTGTTATAAAAAAGGTTTGAGTTGCGCGTCAAATCCCATTTAACAACTTTTCGGGTTGTTTTTATAATGGAGTTTCGTTCACCCGCTAATCTTCTTTTCAGAAATTACATAAAAAAATTTTTCTAGGGTTTTCCAGCGGAATTTTCGATGTACCTAAATTATTGCCGTGGATTACGCTTTGAAGAACCGCCCGACTACATGTATCTGCGCCAACTGTTCCGCATTCTATTCCGCACTTTGAATCATCAATATGATTACACTTTCGACTGGACCCTGCTGAAACAGAAGACTGGAGTTCCTCTTGTCGGGCCAATGGTTTCAATGCCAGTACCGCCAACTTCTGCTGCGGTTGCGGCTCAACCGAGTAAGTTAAGTTAGAATTATCAACAGCCTGTTGTGGATTTGTTTCTTTGGAAAATTGTTCGGCAAAGCGAAATTTAAATGTACGACAGTTTAAGCAATAGTTTGGGTACAAGGATTGTGTTGTGCTCCAGTTTTCAACGAAGTCGTGGCATAATCTGGGAGCTGCTGAAACTATTCGTTAAAGCATATTCTAGCCAAATTCGACTTGATGAGATGAACTTGTTTGATTTTATGTTGGTGCACTATTTACAACCCAAATAAAATTCCCTTTTCTTTTCAGCAACGGTGAGTCGTGACAAAAAAGACGACGATAAGATCAAGCAAAATTCTGCTAAAGGTACCTACAGCTAAAGCAATTTACATTGTACTTAAAAGTTAGTCCACATTATTTTTTTGATCGCTTCTTCCATTCATTTTCTTGTCATTCATGTTTGTTTCTCACGTTCGTTCGCAAAATTCGACATCACCTTCAAAAGACGCAATATTTAATAAAATCTTCGTTGACGTTTGATTATTGTAATATTTGTTAACATACATGTGCGAGTGAGTATTATGCATGAAGTATTTGTTGTATTAATCGAGTTTGCTTACGTTCCTAAGACAGAATCAGCAGCTTCTAATTAATAACAGCCCCCAGAAGGAAGTGCCTGTATTATTGAGCAACATTTTTCCTGTTTTTTCAAAACGAAACATTTGTGAACGTCCACGTCTAAACTCGAGAGATTTAACTTCAGCGCAAAAACTAAAATCAATTACTCATTGACAACAGCGTGTACTTGCATTCGACAATTGCCTGTGCTAACCCGCCCCACTTTTATTGATTAACTTCATAAACAATACTGGATCTGATACGTTAATGTTTTATTTTTTTTGTTATAGGCAATCGTTAATACAAGAAACGCCGTGTCGTACCAACGCATCGACTGGGCAAACGCCAACCATCCACGTTGGTTAAAGGATCTCGTTTTTGGTTTCACTATGATAATTCGTTTGCGATCATACCTTTGTTGATATGCATTCTTCATATTATGCAACGCTGTACAAAACCCGTTCATTCAGCGGTTGTTCGTGCCCTCTTCAATCGAATGATCAAAGTGCGGATCCTGCCACGTTTATTGTAAAAAATAAATTCTTAGAAGTTATTAGTTACTAAACGGTTTCTTTTCGTTGTAAGTGAGCATACATTACAATACATTTTTTAATTTTGATAGTTTTTGGGGTAGTGGAGATTTGCAAAGTTGAACAATTATGCATAAGGTGTGTCTGTATCGGTAAAAACATTACATCACTCCCAATTTTTCAAAATGTTTTCGTCCCGGAGTTAACAAAAATATGTGTGAAAGAGAGCGAGAACTGTGAGTGTGACTGCAAATCGGGCTGTCTTTATTTAATTAGTATAACAACCACTTCTATTCCTTACGCTTTAAGCGTAAGTTATTTTGACAACATGCTTCAAACTTAAGATTAACATTAACTAACGATTGTATCGTCACAGGTCCAGCTTCAAAGTTCGAACGGTTGAAACGCGAATCGCTGGGACTGGTTAAACATTGTTATTCTTTTCGTGTTTTATATTTTTTTGGTATACACGGTACTTTAGATGTGCATATTCAATTTCCACATTAAGATTCCATTGTTAATTTAACAGAGGAGTTCCTCCAGATGGAAAAAACTTGTCTCATTTATAGTGCGATGCGATTTTCTAGACCAGTCCTGGTCTACCTAAACACTGTTCGAGTTCGCCGTTTAGCCTGCTATTACAATTAAATAGAGCATTAAACGGCAACTTGCCATGTATAAAATCCGAATGCTAATGGGCGTCTTAAATTCATCATAGTAACAAAAAGTTCAATCAAGAACCATTCTTATATTGTATTACTGCAAACGATATGCGTTGACTCATATCGTAATGATATTTGTGAATGCATATAACTGGACGAAATCCTGTGACTGTAATTTTTTTTTATCATTAAACATAAGCCCTACGATGTGTATTCTTAAGTTTAGTTATAGAAATTTTTAATTACGAAAAAACCACAGTGTGATTCACCTAACTTGCTTTGTGGGTGATTGAAAGCTATTAAACCAGACAGATGGTGTTTTTTTCGTAGAGGTAAAGAACGTATTTTTCTTATCCGCGTCGGTGGTTAAGTTCAACCACGAAAATAACAGTAATGATCTGTGGAAACTAGTTAATAGGCCAACATGTGTAAACTGCTATAGGTTCTTACGATTGTTATTCTTTTCCTGTGTACTGTTAAGTTCTCATTTAATCTTAATAATCCAATATACTTTATTTCTATACCTTAGGGTTCAGTTATTTTTAAGTTTTGTAACGAACAGTGACACTGTTGGAGTTATTGCAGGAGTAAAACTTTAAAATTCAACAGAGTATTATTCAACATTAAAATAATTCAATACTACTAGGATCAATGAAAGGGTTTTTTTATTTCAGCTTAAATTTATTACTGATTAACTCTTTGGGTTAGTTATTACCAACCCAAAAAAATCACAACGTAAACCCTGCTTACGTTGATTTTTTCGGGGCGGGCTTCACACCTTCCCTGAACCCATTCTTAAATCGCCTGCGGACGATTTTTAAGTGACGAAGACGGCCGGTTCCGGTGGTCTTCCTCCTCTTTGCCTTCACTGACCAGTTGTCTGTGTTACAAAAAAAAGCATTATACTGTGGGTCAATCAAATCAAATCACAAGAATTTATGAAAAAATTACAATTTTTGAATTGTTTGTCCCCCAATGCCTGGAGAAATTTTTAGGGAAAGAGCCCAATCTTTTTATCATCAAACCTTACGATAACAGGAATTTTAAAGCGAGCGCTGGGTGGCAACGCTCCCTAAGCACAACAAAAAAATCGAGAAAAAACCTTTTTAAAAGAATGTGCTTTCATCGATATGATGATAGTTAAGGAAACTTTTTGATGATGAGATGACATTCAACACGGTTTGCTTGGGTTAAAAGATCGAAAGCATGTGCTCACTTTTTTATTAATGCTTGTGTATATATTTTTGAAGGTACCGAAACTTTTCTCGAACATTTTTCTTTAGAATTTTAGCTGGTATCATACTCAATGTACAGATATGAACACACTGATTTTATACTTACAGGAGCGAAGTTTAACGGAAGGGTATCCGCATTGTGCACATTGTGACTTTTGAATGTGGTAAGACGATCTTCCACACCTTCTGCATAGAGTGTGGGTCTTGTTGCGACGCTTACCAAAGCTGGACGTACCCTTCGTCTAAAAAAAAACACTTCTACTTACTATATATGAAATTATTAGTTATACTTAAAACACCAACGAACTGGGGTTATGTTTATTTCACAACTATTCCTTATAAGTGGAATTATTAAAATATCTCCTGCAACCATTAGTACTACACCAAATATGAATTTCACGACATTGCAGGATAAATGATTAAATAAAATAATTGAGATAAATGAAGATAAATCCAGTTAAAGAAAACCAAATACCAACCATTTTGCTTGACGCGAACTGAAGGATTGAGGAATCTGCTTCTTTCTGTTCAGTAATGCTAGCCGATCGATCACTTCTTCTTTACCAAACCCTACTGGCGTGGCTTATAAACCGGCATTCCCGCGAAAAAGGCTGAATAAAAAGTTTACATTAAAATAAATTGAAAAAATATTGTGAATATATGATGATAATAAGAGAAGAAATATTTATTTCAGAAGCAAAACCTTGTTATTTATTTTGCTGTCCTATTGCTGTTGGCACTGTCCTTGGCGGTATGAACATTTTTTTCTAAGAACGGAAAAATGGATCACTGCATAGAAGTTTCGCGAGTTTTTTTTGGGAGACTGCATTTTCCCAAGAAACCTCACTAAGAAAAGCGATTAGCAAATATATTACCTATCAGAGGGGTATTTTCTCAAGTTCGGACGCAAGAGACTGGCAAACCAGAAAATTTCTGGTCTAGGCTTTACTGTATGAACAGGAAAAAGGCAACATCGAATTTATGACGCGCCTAATCAAAGTAACGTCGAAACACAAAACATAACCATTAAATTCGCGAAGCCCCAATTTTGAAAACAGTTTAGTCATGGATCAAACTGGTGAAGAATTAAGTAGGTTCCTCCACATAAAACTACCTTTCTTAGACCCAACTATAAGTGTCGATTATTAAGCAGGACTTGGTATGATTTCTAACACACCAATTAATCGTTTTAGTGCTCTTAGAAAGAGTCTTCTTACGTTTGGGCTCTGCAGAATCAGACGAACAGTTGGAAAGTGTTATATCCAAATTCCTGGTTCCCGTGCTACTTGAACTATCTTCGGAACATGAAAACGTTAGAAAGAAGGTGAGAGGCCTAATCATCACAGTGGGAATGATAAAGCAAATTTGCCTTCACCACTTTATAGGTCATGGAACTGTTGATACACATAAACAAGAGAATTAAAGCTAGATCAAATGTCCAATTGCCTGTGGAAGCATTGCTCACTCAATATGGATACCTAGGGGCGTCATCATTTGTGAATGTAACTAATCACCTTGTCTGAGCCTGGACAGCAAATGTACAATTTTCAACATTTCCAGAATTTTACCATTATATATTTGCGGTCCGGATTCCCTCGCCTATCTATTGAAAAGCAAGTGGAACTGGTGCCAGTCATGATTACCGCTTTGAGAGACAAGCCAACCTCTCATTTAGATAGTTTGCTGTTGCTGATTGTTCCTCTGTTGGGAAAGGTGAAAGTTCCAACTGAACCAGAGAAAATACGGGATTTCTTTGGATTCAGTAAAAGCCCAGAAGTGACTAAGCTTTTTCTGGACATTTTGTTGGATGCGATTCTACTACCTTACAGGTATTTTTAAGTCTGCCCGAAGTTTAAGAGTTTACATCTTGGAAACGGTTGAGAGTATCGGAATAATTATTGAGAAACGCCACCTCCGTCTAGTGTGCATTTCTAGTCAATGTTTAAAATTTATATTTTAGTCATATTTCTTTTTATTTATTGCAATGAGTTAATTACTTCCAAAAAGCTTCAATCAGGCGTTTGTATTACTATAAATTGCCCATACATATGTAGATAAAATACATTCACCTTTCACAAGCTTCCGTTGCGACAACATTAACTAAATAATATATTTGGACTATCTGACAATAAATAAAAAATTGGGCAGATGATTCTACTATTAAGTTGGTTTGCAAGGAATTTTCGTTGCTAAAAATATCTCTCTGCTTTTTCTGAGTCACAAATAAACCCTTGAGAACATTTTTTTCAAGTTTTATTCCATGATTCTGAGCAAACATCCAGATTCACATCTTGGGGACTTGTTTTAACATGGATTTAATCATTGGATTATTTCAGTTCTCTTACTCTGCAATCCCAGGAAGCAGCATCGAGTGGTGCAAATTCTATTACCATCCCAGTGCCGCCTGGCATGAGTGAGAATTCCTTTAAACGAATCACCGCAAACAATTCGTTCAAACCGGAAGAATTCGAATCGGTAGACCGATGCCAGATTCTGAGTCTGTTCAATCACTAATTGCGCATAATTTTTTAGATCAAACTGGGCATTGTAAAGTTTCTTTCTCATGGCATATTTAAGGCTGATGATATACTGCTTCACTTTATAGTAGCTGCATCCGATACCCGATTTGAAGTTGCGAACTTTGCTGATATGGAACTGAAAAAGGTGGCAGGGTCAGTTAGCGACTATTATTACGACAGGAAAAAAAACTTCATAATTGATTTGTTGTAGATCTGTGGATTGGAGTTCTCCGCATATCTCCCAACCAATATTCCTCCTATTCCTAGGGCTAAAGTCCAATAAACCGGGGCAAACGAAGGTCGCAGCCGGAACCAGAATTAGACTGAAACTTCTAGCTTATCTGTGCAGAGTGCAAGAGGCAGGGTTCGTCTTTCCTATGAGCTTGCAGATAATTTTCGACAGTTTATATGGGACTAACACCAATAACAAATTGAAATCACTGGCGCTCAATTTCACGGTGAATTTAATCAGATAGTAAGTAAGGTAGAAGGATGATTCGATCGGCGCATATTGACGCCGTTATTGCAGTAGTGTAGGTGACTCTTTAGGAAAAGTTGCTCCTATTTTGGTGTCCGGATTGACGAAGCTGATTAAGGAGGGGGAGCTCGAACATCAGGCTCAGGCCTATGTGGCCATGGGCCTTTTAGTCCAGAAATTTCCGCACACCGTCTTTGGCAATGTTCTCCTACTTGAAACGTATTTTAATAATCTAGAGTCGGCCAACACAAATTTCAAGATCCAAGTTAGAGAAGGTAGTGCTTTGACTCACCGCAGTGTCTGTACAATTGTATCACTTTGCTTGTTTTAAGGGATGCTAAATCTCATCCAGGCTTATAAATACGACAATTTACCCGATGAACTGGATAAAGACGGGCGCCTGAATCTAATCATAGCACTGATTAGGGTGAAACTCGTTTCTGATGACTCTATGGTGAGGTTTTGCTGCGTTCGGACACTGACCACAATATTTCCGCCCGATCATGTCCCCTCAAAGCTTTTGTTACTGATTGCAATTGGCGACAGGTAATTTGGGATTAGTTGAAAATGTTAAAAGCGCAAATTTAATAATGATTCAGGGAAGGCGATGTCAGCCAAGAGGCCTTCAAATCGATCTACGGCACCACTCGCCAGAACGAGTTCGAAATGGCCAGTTTGATTAATAAAAATGGAATGCCTTCGTTTGTGGACATGATCAAGCACGTCCAGAATGTGGCGACTACCATAATGACCGAGAAGAAAAACATAGTACACGTCGGAGGCCATGCGATACCTTTCAACATTAATGTTTATTTAGAGGTGCAGTTCACTGAGTTTTTCAGGGATACTTTAGCCTCGTGTGATTTTTTAGATCCTCCTGTACCTGCGCCTATGTCTTTTTCGAAACCTGGATATTCCGATATCTAGAACGGTTCTTAAGCATCCATGTGAACATACGCCAAAAATATCTGAGGCAATATTGAATGTTTACAATGGCAAAGAGGGCAAAGAGCTACTCGATCTGTACCTTGAGATGGTAATGACCAGCTTACTGGCTCAACCAGGTGAGCTCTAAGTGAGTTGCCTTGGGAATTTTCCAACAATTAATCTGCAGGTGCGGAATCTTTGTCTTGCTTGATTGAGCTGTTGGGGTGTGTGCCCAACCTGCACACTTTGATTACTGATGCCAATATGCTTTGGATGCAGGCTCAGCTCGGCAACTTGAAAGAGGATATTAGAGGGTATGTAGCGGTTTTGTATGCGCTGGTGTTGCCATTAAAAGGGAATTCTGAAAATTTCGATGGCGCGGTAAGAGGTCTGATAGGTGAGTTCCGAAATTTCGGAGAGAAGGTTTTAATAGTGCAAGGTTTGAATTGCTGGGGATTTCTAGAACACACCGCTAAAAACCATCTAGAAACCCAACACGGCGCCTTATTGGCCATCGGCAACTGCCTAGAGATGCAAACGTTATACAAAAAACGACTGGGCGACAGTTTCGGTAACAAGGCCTTAGTTAAAGATTCCCTTCTAGCAATTGGTGAGTGCACTCAGTTTGAGAGAGATTTAGAGCAGCAACCATTAAGTTTTTCACTTATTCCTAGCTCCATTCGTTAAGCATAAGAACGTGCTTCTGGTGGGAGCAGCCATCACTAGTATTGGCCTTATCGCTCGCGTCACAAGTCTACCATTGGATAATGGAAAATATCCAGATGATGGCAGTCCCAACCCCAAAAAGCCAGCAGTGGCCATAACAAAGTTCGAACTGGTTCAACAATTATTGGATATTATGAACAATAGTAAACTAGCGGTTAAAGTAAGCAAGAAACTTTCAGCACTCGATTACCATCTAACGCGGCTGAACATTTTAGATTCGCGAGAAAGCGGCCAGATCTCTAGGTCTGATGTGCGTTGGTGAGAAATTCGTACACACAAAAATTGTGATGGAAGGTTTATTAAACACTGCTAAAGAAGTAAGTGATTGATTCCGTGGGGCTTCTCTAACTGAACCGGCATTTTCTTTAGACCAAGGATGTAGAAGTTCACTTCACGATAGGAGAATCGCTGCTAATGTGCTGCCAAACGGTTTCGTCCCCTGAAGCGCGCGATGCTTGGCAAATTCCCCCAGATGAATATTCGGTCAATAGTACAGATCCGGTCATAGATGAAAATTTAGAGATGTTTTTGGATGATCTACTCAAGTTAGCTGCTCAGCCACATCCCAATTCAAAACAGGCTTCATGTATATGGCTTCTAGCCGTCTTGAATGGTAAGTGAACGATTTTCATGAAATAACCGAGTTTTTCGACACTTGTTTTCTTCCTGAAGTTAAAGTGAAGCTTAAAAAAAGTTTTAATCTTCTTCCGAAGAGATACGAAGTCGGTTAAATTGTTGTTAAAAGTTGCTTTATCAGGGGATTTTTGATTTTTGCGATTTGTTGGAAAATGTGATTTTTCGGTTAATTATTTCTAGATTAAAATTCGGGTTTTTCTTTATATACTTATTCTATACTGATTATATTTTCACAGTCTCATTGTTATAAAATACTTCTTCTCAAATAATTTCAGTCATTGTCTAGTTAGAATTCCGACTGATCAAATCGAATAGAAACTATTTTACAAAATTAAAATTACCCGACAAATTTGTACCAGCTTTGGAACTCGATAAATTCTGATTGCTGAGAGCGATTTTATTTTTAAAGACAAGAATTTGGCCGGTAACATCCGAACAAGAAATCATGTAAGATAGTGCAAGTTTGGACCGGCTTCGAGCCTATTAGCTCTCATCAGTTGGGTTCAGCCTGAAATTAGCTACCGCAAAATCCGCACTTGAATCACCCAATTCTAATGCAAAAAAAGTGTGGGCCCCAAAATATCCACCTCTTATGATATATCTGGAATACTCGATTTATTCATGAGATGACTCGATTGGTTGCAGGTTGTGGGAAAAGAGAACCAATTTCCAAACGACTCCAGATTATCCAGAACACGTTCATGAAACTGCTGTGCGAAAATAACGGTATAATCAACCCTTCTTTAGATAACGAATATTCGCTGATCTTTTCTCATACTCGATTAGATATTGTGCAAGACGTGGCTTCGAAGGGCCTGTGCGTAATTTACGACTCGTTCAAGTCCGAGGAACTGTTAACTGCGTTGGTTAATCAGTTAACTTTAGGCACCAGGCACGTGGCGCAAGTAACCAGCGATACGAAACTGTTCGAAGAAGGGCAGCTTGGCTCAGCGCCGTCCGGGTAAATAACATCTGAACAAATTGCGTTAGTTAGTTGAATTCATGTGATTTTTTAGAGAGAATCTGACCACCTACAAGGAGCTGTGTTCGCTAGCGTCCGACCTGAACAAGCCAGATTTGATTTACAAGTTTATGCATCTGGCCAATCACAACGCCATGTGGAATTCGAAAAAGGGGGCGGCTTTCGGATTTTCCAGCATCGCTCAGAAGTGCGGCGAAGACCTGAAGACACTGATGCCAGAAATCGTGCCCAAATTGTTCCGGTAAGGCCCCCTGATTCTGAATTGTTTTATTTTTTTAACTTATATCCTTTGGTAGGTATCAGTTCGACCCGACGCCAAACATTCACGACTCCATGACCAATATTTGGAAAGTTTTAGTCACCGATCCACAAACCACGGTAGCTACGTGGAAATACCTTTTCCACACGGTTCACTAATCGTATATTTTTTAGTTGGATACATACTATCACGAGATTTTGAAGGATTTATTAGCGAACATCAACTCGGCGCAGTATAGAGTTCGACAGTCGTGTTGTCTAGCTTTGCAAGATGTCCTCAAAGGATCTGCTCATCGCACCATACACGACGCCGGTAGTAATCAACAGCCTAAGAAAAATGGGGGTTTTAAAGTGTTTTTCTAGTTGATTACATGGACGAATTGTGGAGCAAACTGTTCCGGGTTATGGACGACCATCACGAAGCAACAAGAATAAGTGCCAATAAAACCGCACGAGTACTAAGCAAGGTTGGTTTTATTTCAAACTAAACATTAAAAGTGCATTTTCAAGCTTCATTTCAGCTGTGTATTCGCGGAACTGATTCAAAGCAAGGAAAAGCCGGGGTGAAAATGATGGAAGCAATATTGCCCATTCTGCTCAACACTGGAATAACGCACACGGTGTCCGAGATTCGGATTGTTAGGTAAAACGCGGATATCGCAGTTTCCTTTGAAACTCCTAAGAAACTGATTTTTAGTTTGCAAACTGTGTCCGAGCTAGTCAATTCAGCCGGGGATCAGATAAAGCCGTTTTTACCAAAGCTGATTCCTGCGCTATTGCAAGCGACCGGCGAGCTGGAGTCTGCCAAGCTCTCCTATTTCAGCACTATGATGGGGGCCCGAACCGAGATGCAAGAAGCGATTGATAGTGCCAGAGCTTCGATAGCAAAGTCCCATTTTACTACCGAGACTGTATCAAAGGTAACCAACTGAACTCGCCGCTTAGAACGCCGTTTTAAGGCTTGGATTTTCAGAGCTTACGGTACGCCGATAGCTCCATGTTAGACGAATTAGTGCCCAAAGTCTTGGAGCTGATTAAATCCTCTGTGGGTTTGGGTACGAGAGTAGCTTGTGCGCATTTTATCACGTTGCTGGTAGTCCAGCTAGGAGCAGACCTTGAGCCATTTGCTGGCAAGATTTTGTCCACTTTAGTGACTGGGTTAACAGATCGAAATTCGGCCATACGAAAGCACAATGCCTCCGCTATCGGTCACTTGGTTTCGGTATGCAAACCTTCGAGCCTGGAGAAATTATTCACCAAATTGCGAATGTGGTACTTTGAAAGAGAGGGTACGTAAATGGATCGTATCTAGAAAATTACTTATTAAGGCATTATTGTTTCAGACGATTCAATTAGATGGGCCATTGCCTGCACCATTCAGTCCATAGGCATTCATAATCAGGACGTGATCAAGACGTACTCGACAGCCGTAATGCCTTTGGTGTTTTTCGCTACACATGCGGAAAAATCACCAGAGACTCAACATACTCTGGACCTATGGGTGGAAATCTGGTCTGAACACAGCCCGGGTGAGCTTGGAAATAATTCTCGTGTGCATTCATGAATAAAGCTCGAAATATTGCCAGGCACTGAAAGCGGAATACGGCACAACATCGAGCCGATTTGTGAAATGTTGAAAACTGCCTTGGAATCTGCATCGTGGACCGTTAAAGCACAGGTAAGTACGACTCCGCATAATTTTGAATCCGGGCAGGTTTGGTTTTGATGAAATTGTTCCATTTATCAGGCAGCTAATGCAGTGACGACTGTAGCAAGCAAATTGGGCTCCACCTTGAAGCTCCAACACAGCAACGCTTTGCTGACTATTCTGCTGGCAGGTCTAACAGGCAAAACTTGGAAAGGAAAGGACAAACTGCTGAAGGCTTTATGCAGCATTTGTACGCATTGCAAGTGAGTGGATTGCCACAATTTCCTGACTCAGTGTCCATTCGTAACTCTCTATTGCAAGTTTACCTTCAGTTTTTGCCACTTTGATTGTGGTTCTCCTCTACCACTGAAGCTTCATTTCTTCAGGAACTTTCAATCAGCCGAATTTTCTGCCAGTTTAATTCGTCCAGCTAATTTAGAATATCTTTTAGGGACTCGCTAAAGGCCCAAAAGCCCACGAAAATTGCCACAATCACCCAGGCGATCTGCCGCGAGTCTCGCAAACAAGAAGTGGCCTACAAAATCGCCGCCTTGGAATGCCTGGGGGATGTCGTTTCTTCACTGGAAGTGGATGTATTTGAAGACGTTTATGAAATACTGAAACTCATTCTAGATAGCACCAGACAAGAAGATCCGGAGGAAGAGCAGGCTAAGAACAGGGAGAACGAGCTGAGCTTGAAAATAGCCGCTTACGAGTGCCTGGGTGAATAGAGCGCGATTTGCTGAAAACATTTTCAACTGATGTGTCTGGATTTCAGGCAAAACGTGGCCGGAGAACAGCCCACAGACTCAAGAAAAATACTGGACCATATACATGCAGCATTGTGTAGAAGCTCTGCCTACAGTCAGCAGACCGATTCAAAACAGCATTTTGGTGGCTTTGTACAGTTTCGTGAACAAGCTCTATTTACTGCAAAAAACTAGCGAGCAAATGTCGGCTGTTGAAAAGACCAACCTAGGGATTGTCGTCAATCAGTTCTTACAGACCATCACTTTGGTGTTACGTAAGTATTTCTGATTTTTCAAGCCAGAATTTATATCATCGCTAACAAACTCCTCAGGTGAATCAAAGCAGACGAAAATGAGAAAGGAGGTGCTGAATATCATCTTTTGCATGGCCACTAAACTCAAACAGAAAAACATAACAGACGAACTGGCAAATGTTACAGCGATTTTTGCCGACATTTCAGCCAAGTTGTCGTCAGACAATCAGCCTGAAATTAAGTGCAGGCTGCACGATATTAAACAACTGTTGAATTAGGAACGATTTGTGAACCACCGCTATTTCATTTAATTAATAATTAATAAAGAATATAAATTAACTAAAAAGTTGAGTATTATTCATTCAAGAGCGGACAGTTTTAATGGCAATATAAAACGTACGTATTTCTATCTATGGTTGATTTTTTTTTGTGAGGGTTTTTTTTCAAAAGCTATTGTATGAGTTGCATGAACACTCGCGCTAGAAACCTACTGATTATTTAAATTATACACAGGGTGTTCGGTAATTGGAGGTTTTACTACTACAAGTTATTTTGACTTGGCCAGCTTCAACCTTAGCTGTTTTTATCTGTGTTTGCAACAATCTATGCAATGTGGGTTTCAGCTCCACCAGTGGCGCAGGTACAGGCATTTTTCTGAATAACATTATACAAAAAATGATTCGCCATTGATTTTTTGGAAATTAAACAGTAGTTTCCCCATTTCTGTTCAATTTGGCAAATAAAGTTTTTTTGGCGCGTCGTTTTTGAGAAAAAAATTTAAATTGATTGACTCGACTTGGTAATGAATAAATGCATGTTTTGATTGAAAATTTTTCCTTAATTTTTTCCTTGTCCTTTAGTTGCAGCGCTTTTACCGTAAAATACGTAGTCTTGTCGACACTCATAGCTAGTAAAATATACCTAAATTCTATATAGTTGAGGCGGATTCATGCTTTCAAAACCTTTTTCTTGTGCATTTTGTCTCAGAATGTTTATTGTGCATTTGGCTTCAAAAGAGAATTTTGACTATTCCGTTTTTCTTTACCAAAAAGTTCTTTTAGATAAAACTAACATTATTTACATCTGAAACTAACCATCTATCGGGCCAAGATTAATAAAACTTTTATCAGGCCGACTTTTAAGTGCCCAAACGCCCTTAAATTGCATGGAATCGAAGTGAGAAGAGATGAACAATCTAAGCAAAAAATGGAACATTTTGACTAAAAAAAACAGTTTTTTGCTGCTAGAAAACCTGTGAAACGTAATTAGCTTGAAAGGCCGCGTCTTCAGCTAATTAGAATTGAGCCAAGCTAGCATTCGTAAGTTCCACCTATTGGGTATTGGTACCAACAACACTTTCCCAACCATACTGCAAGAACCTTGCTGAAAGCAGTACCAAGTCGACTTTTGCTTCGACACGCGATTCCAAACGCGCGCCCGCCAAACCGATTGCGGTACCGCTTACGGTCTCTGGTATTTACTCTGTACCACCTTGTTTCTTTTCTGATAGCGCTGTGTTTCACAAACGTGCAGTTTTTCCTTTGGCAGAGTTTTTCAAGGACTGGCCAATGCCATAAAGGTTCGTATATTGATGGCGAACTGGTGCTGGTAATTGGATTGGTTCCATTGGCTACTTTCTGTTCACCTGTTTGCCGATTTATATTCTCGGTGCGAAAGGAGCGCAGTTTTATTGAACGCGACAAATATCGAACACCGGATGGATTCATCAGGAAAATGAAAGTTATGGGAAACGCAAATTGCAGACAGTTTACCGGAAAAATTAACACTTTATCGTGCCTTTTAATAATATGTAAATGCCGCTTCGTTAAACGCCAGTGTTGAAAAATTCAGTAGCGTAGCACTAGGATTTTGCCCAAAATTTGAGAACTAAAAAAATGTACTATAGAGCTTTGCAAAAAATCCCAAAAAATTCTATTGTATGAACTGTTCCACACTCTTTAACATTGTTACGCGCAATGACTCAATGCTGCTGAACTTATTAATCGACATAAGCAAGTTCAGAAATTCCTCTAGTATTTGGTAACCGAACGTAATTCAGTTACATGTCGAAGAAACCAATTTTTTTGTGCGAAGAATGCGATCTAAGTGAATAGAGAACTTGCACAAAAGTTTCATTCATGTTTCGACACATACTACATGTAAAAGCTGCTAATTAAATTATCACCTGGATGGTTGTGGCTGTTCTGATTTCCTCGATAGAAATAAAAATGAAAGTTGCCGATTACAACATACAAATATAGCAGAAGCGTGATGCGATCGATACTATTGAATATTGACCTGATTTTTATCCATCAAGGAACTGGCGTTTTCATCAATTCTAGAGATAATTCTTCAATATTCTTGTTTCCGGTCAATTTTCCAGCCATCCACTGTGTTTCATTACGAGGCCTATCGAACCAATCAATTCCGCTTAAAGTATAAACAAACACCGAGGAAAAATCCAATTTGAAGCCAACAATAGCTGGACGCTGAAGAGATCGTATCTGCAGTAAAAAATGACTGGCTTTACGGAATATTAGATGGTTTAATGGCAGCACAACGCCAAGCGGTACATTTTTCTTGTAAAATGTTTGCGAAGTAGGTTAACGGCCGTTGATGGCAGGGTCAGGCCAATTCTGTCGCATCTGTGTGGTCGAAAACAATGCAGAATTACCAATGTTCGACACAATATTATTAATCAGTAGTTGTTCAGTACAAAATTATAAAATTAAACAGACATTTTCCGCATAGCAAATGGTCGCTTGCCTCTTTAATAGCGCAATAAATCATATAAAATGGGAGCAACTTCAATTCTACTTTAATTTATAAACGGTTGAAAGTAGATATGTATTATTTACTGCAATCGGTCGGATAGTGCCAGTTTTGTTTGAGTTTCTCGACTCGGTTACCTCTTTAATTTTATTGCGAGAATCCAGAGTTTTTCGCAGCAACTACGTGTAGTTGTTCCCGATTTTAGCCTGTCGTAGAAATAATTTCTTGCTGCACTGAGCAACGAAGATACTTCTAGATACTTGAATACAAAATTCCTGAAAAGCTCATTTAAATCTCACGAAATTCTGATTATTGCGCGCTTTGAAATTGTTGGTCTGAACATGAACGGCTTCACGCAACTGCGGTCTCACAAATAAAAAATTGCAGCTTCCAATCTGGAGCCAGAAGGAGCTTGAATTATTGATATTGTATAGAAGACACTCTAGTCTAAAAATCCTCAGTAGATTATTTAAATCGCGGCCCAAGAGTTTTGCACACATTGAAAATATTGGTCTGAACGTGTACGGCTTCGCGCAACTACGGTCCCTCTAATAAAAAAAATTAATTTCCAATATAAA